CTCTCTCTCTCTCTCTCTCTCTCTCTCTCTCTCTCTCTCTCTCTGTCCTCAGGGCACCAGTAACCCTATCTTCCTGTGCAGCGTGGCATTCTTTCAGGACTCTCTGATCACTCAGCAGACACAGGTCAAGCTGTCTGTCTACGACGTAAAGGACCGCACACAGGGCACGGTAAGCCCAAACACAAGAATACCACTTGACTCTACTGTTTCAAATTTCCTCAAAGTTCTTATCTACTAAATCCTTAATAGTCTACACTTATCGTGTGTGTTTATGTGACAGATGTACATGCTTGGTTCAGCCATGTTTCCTGTGAAAGAGCTGCTGCAGGACAAACACCACAGACTGCACCTGACTCTCAGGTAACAGGCCGACACAACACACGGTGCCCCTTTTCCTCTACGGGTGACTAAATGATATTTGGGTTCGGGGATGTTTAATTTAGTCAATGTCACTGTGGTTCAGGTCAGCGGAGAACAACCGTGTTGGGAACATCACCGTCATCGCCTGGCAGATAGAGGAGAACCGCGAGCAGAGAGCTCCCGTTGCCAGATTACAGAGAGGAGACACTGTTAATGGAAGGGTGAGTGATCGGGAAAAGTGAGTCAGGACAGAAGTTTTTCGTGAAAGTATTAAAACTGAAATGTTGGGGTGATTAATTGATTATTTGATTGATATAAGATTTATCAGCAGCTGTTTTTATAACTGATTCATTAAAGTCCTTTTTCTTACAAAATATGAAACATTCCGTAGTTCCAGCTTCTCAGTTATGAGCATTTTCTGCTTTTGTCTTATGTGATGAAACAATAGCTGTTTTTAAGTTTCTGTCTGTTGGTTGTACAAAACAAGCAACTGAACGACATCACTTGAGGCTAAAACTGTGAAGACTGTGATGGCCGTTTACTTACTTTTTTCGGACTTTTTTTAGGCCAAATTAAGAAGAAATTCAGAAACTCATGGGCTGATTAATTGATGATAAATATAATAGTTGCAGTTATAGAAAATCCCTTTAACCTCACATTGTTTTGCCTGTCTAAGTATCACCACCCTCAGCCTATTTCTGGTTGTATTGTTTTCATAGCAGGTTTTCTTTTTGTCCACGTATGTGTCAGATGGTTCTCCCTGTTGATGAAAGCCTGACTGAATCCATGGGCATTAAATCCAAGTCTTCATCTCTGTGTAAAGACCCATTGCTAAAGGCTGGTGAGTGTGTGTCTATTTAAACTAGATATCAACCTCCTCTAAGCGGGAGTTTAGTAACAGTCTGGATTGCGAGCCATGTGATGGTGATACACGGCTGTGGTGGTCTGTTTTCGATCTGCTTCAGTGTTTGGGGGCATCATGTCTCGAATGTACCGGCTCCCCACCACCGACGGCAACCACCTTCGGATCCTGGAGCAGATGGCGGAGAGTGCGCTCTCCCTGCATATTCCTCGACAGTTTGTCAAGCTGCTGCTGGAGGAAGACGCCGTCAGGTAAAGTCTGAAAACGGATACTATTGATCAGAGGCGTTAACATCTTTGCAGAGGAGCAGCAGGGTGTTGTAGTGCAGTGACCCAATGATCAACTCTCTGTGTCTTGGTTGTTTTTACTTTGATTGTCTCGGTCTCGGCCACCAGTCTCACCTTTTACAGTCTTTGGTCTTTTTTTTTTCTTTCTCTTTTTCCCCTTCCTTTTCCTTTATTTAATATCTCGTGCACTGCTCTGTACTGGCATTGACAATGCTATAATATTGTCCAGTTTTACATCAAGTGTCTTGTGAAAAACACATATTTGTGGTGTAGTTTATGTTGTTTAATTTGTAAAAAGTGAAGTAGTTAATTTAATATTATGCAAAAACATTTTGTTTCCAATATAATTATATTTTTGGACTCCATTCGGAGTCTTAACTTTATCTTGAAATGAAAGAAAGAAAGAAAGAAATCTACATAATTTGTGTAGCAGGATGTTTTTTTTAACAAGTTCTTATCAGATACAGTATATATCTCAATGAGTGTGTCCTTCGTGTAATATATAATAAACTGTATCTTTATTATCATATTGTCATCATCATAAGGTCAAAGACACATTATCAATATGACTCCCACTGCTCCCATTCTTACTAATGGTTGCTTGTGATGTGGGTGATGTGAGAAGTTGGACCTGCTCAGCTGCAGACCTTAATTGAACAAGCGCCACTAATATCAAACAGCTGTGACATCATCAGTGCATGGGCTGGATGTCTCGATTGTAAATGTGTGTGTGTGTGTGTGTGTGTGTTGTGCAGGGTGTGTGAGTTGGAGGAACTGGGCGAGCTGTCTGCATGTTGGGAGAACCTCAGGAGGCAGATCATCACTCAGTATCAGACCATCATCCTCACCTACCAGGAGACCATAAGTGACCTGCACGAATACAAAGGTTAGAGACACAAGCTATTCATAACATCATTTTAAGGGGGCTCTGCACCAATTCAATCTAAAAATACATGTGCAAGTCAATCAGTCACAGGGAGTACTACACATTTATAATAGAAAGCAAGCTTTGCGTTTGATGTATGTGGGCATTTACCATTCAAAAGGTCGAACTAAAAGACGCTTTTAAAGGGACAGTGTGTAAGATTTGGTGCCATCTAGCAGTGTGGTTGCAGATCGCAACGCACCGAATACCCCTTCGCTGATTTCTTCCCCTTCAAAGACTGCGATAATGTGCGCCGCAGAGTGCAAAAGCGTGGTAGCGCCGTTCTCCTCGCTCAGAGGCCATCCTTTCCATAACAACACTACTTAAGGAGCAACTGGAGTCAGACGGTGGCTGGTGGTGCCATGGTTTTGCACTCTGTGGCTCACGTTACCGCAGTTCAACAGGCGTGTCGTGGAGCTACAGTGGCCTTTGTGTAATGTAAAATCGCAAAAGGCTCCTTCTAGATTGTTTGGTTTGTCCGTTCTGGGCTACTGTAGAAACATGGCGGGGCAGCATGGCGTCGCTCTGTGAAGACCCTCTCCATATGTGGATATGAAGGGCTTATTCTAAGTGAAGGAATTCTTAGTTTCAGGTGTCTTTTCCACATCAACTTTGACCATTGCTGTTCTTTTTGCTGCAAGAATTTTTAAGAAAGTGCAATACCAAATTGATGAGTTTCCCTTTAAGTAAAAATATATAAATGTTGCACAATTGCACACAACAACCAGTGCAACATCTTACATATTTATATTTTCATGTGAAATGTCACATTAGGACATATCTGTAACTTGTTACGGTATTTACAGATAAAAAGAACCTCTTTCTTACTTTCTGTTCCCTCTCAGGTCCTTCTTTTAAGTCTAGTACCTTGAAAACTGAGAGGAAGTTGGAGTTTATTCCTACTAATCTGCACATCCAGAGGATGAGAGTACAGGGAGAGTCTGGCTATGGTAGGTATTTATACTGCATACATATGTGTGGCCATGGTTTTAAAAATATTCTTTAGTATCTTATTGCATCCTCTTTATTACTGTCCTCTGATCAGACCGGACGTACGATGTTGTGACTATCGGTGCACCTGCAGCACATCATCAGGGCTTTAAAGGCTGCGGCCTCCGAAAACTGCTGCATAGGCTTGAAGAAGCCAGGAAACAGTGAGTAGAGCAAAACAGAAAATACATGAGCTTCACAGTGATGTTTGATTTTATGAGTGGTTAATTCATCTTTTTGTTGTTGTGTGTTTTGCCTCACTCAATCAGCACTTATGAGGAGGAAAGGTGAGGTGACGAGTAGTGTACCGTAAGATTCTTGTGTGTTATTTGTCATTGCTGTGTCTTCCATACTTATCTTCTTTATCTGTCTTTGTCTTTCACACCCGCTTCAACACACACCCAAAGCTCTGCTGGTTCTGGCTATAAAGGAATGGCATACCAGCCTCAGGATGTTGTGAAAGCGAAGGAGCTGATCGGTCAAATAAACACTCTGAAGACACAAGTGTGTTACTACACTGAACGCCTGTCGCGAGCCGCCAAGGAGCGCTCAGCCAACGCTCTGGATAGAACCCTGGCCATCCTATCGGAGAAGGTAGGAGAGCGCTCAGCGGATCTGGAGCGTGTTAATCAAGAGCTGAGATGTCGATTATTTTCTGTTTTTATCTTACTCGCTCTCCCTCTGCTTCTGGCTTCTTCGACCTCCCAACTTTTTATCTCAACACTTATTCTCTGAATAGAAATGATAAGCAGTTCTTGCAACCTAAAATGTCTTTCAATTAAATTTTTGACAGTACAACCACATTTCAGCCTCTCTGTGTCCTCTCCCGCTCCTCTTGCAGACTCGTCAGTTGGTGAACGTGTGTGACTCCAAGCTGCTGTCCTCAGCCATCCTCGCCCTGGCATCCGCCCGCCCAGAATCCACTCTGCAAACCCCGTCCCCGTCCTCCTCCTCCCTTTCACCCTCCTCTCGTTCCCCGTCGCGCTCCCCCTGCCGCCACCCGACCTCCCCATCTCGTGCTGCCACCTCGCCTTCTCGGTATGCAGAGGGCAGCGAAGGGAGTAAAAACAAGCGCTCCTCCTTGCAGGCAGATTTGCATGAGGAGGACTGGGTAAGACAAAGTCCATCTGCCTCTTTGATGTCTGTATTCATGTGTTGTTGTTTTTAATGTTCATTTTGTGATGTGTTTGTGTGCAGGAGAAGGTTTGGCTAAATGTGAATAAGAGCCTGGAGTGTGTGATCCAGAGGGTGGACAGGCTCCTGCAGCGAGACAAACTTCAGAGCGACAGTAGCTCGGAGGATGTCTTCCTGCTCGCCAGCGAGGAATCGGGTAACACTAAGAAAGGTACGCAGACACACACTGCTGTGCTCTCATGAGGCATCCGTAGTAACCAGGAACAGCCATCATCATCGTCATCAGTCTCTCACCAGACTGCTGCATGTCTTTCACATCTGTAATTTCATTCTCCTATTCATGCTAACTGCTTCAGTGTCGCTGGATGATTAAAATCTGAAGTATAATGTTGTGGAATTGTGTCCTTATCTTAAAAAAAATCTTTTCTCTCACTCGTAGACATCAGCCCAGAGGTAGAAAAACCGTCCCCAGGTGAGAGCATTATTTCCTCTACAAATCCTAAAAAGTCACTATGATATGAAAGAAGAAAACTATTCCTGCCATTTGATTGTTTGAAATGTTAAGTTACGGCGTTATGTCATGCGTTAGTTGTGTGTCAAATAGAACTCTTTACAATAGAGTAAAACAATTTTAGAAAATGAAAAAAATGTATTTAGATATTGTGTAATGTTAACTAATTTAAAAAAAGATGAAAATATTTCCAGGACATCTAAAAAAATGTCATATGTTTTTTGTTTTTTTTGATTTTTGCAAAATCTACTGAGTTCAGTGTCTGCCCCCCTCCCTGTGTGTATACGAGTGTTTTACGCGATGTGTGCCGTGTCTGCAGGGGAGTGGAGCGACGCTCTGTACCCTCTCCTCACCACGCTGACGGATTGTGCTTCTCTGATGAGCGACAAAGCCAAGAAGGCCATGGTGTTTCTGCTGATGCAGGACAACGCCCCCACCATCGCCATGAGCCTCACCCTGCAGTACCGCCGCGACGTTGTCTTCTGTCAGACGGTCCGTCCACATGTGTCTTCACCCTCCTACCGCTTCTGTCTTTTTCATACCTTCGTAGTTTTTGGAGAATTGCTTTAAAAACATGACCGTATTGATGTGAGTTGTGCTTCTTGCAGCTGACGGCGCTGATCTGCGGCTTCATTATCAAGCTGAGGAACTCTCTCTGTGACTCGGGCTTCCTCAGGCAGCTACACACCATCGGCTTACTGGTGCAGTATGAGGGCCTGCTCAGCACTTATGGTAACTTTAACCAGAGCAAATGAGTCCTCAGCCCATGGCTCTAACTTTTCACCACGTTTCACTGAAATCTGTTCAGCAGATTTTGCGCTATCAAGCAAACATACAGGACCACATCATAACATCCTTGAGGCTGATCTAATGACATCAGTGGCCTTTGTGTTTCTGTGATGACTCCTTGTGTCTTAAAGGGGAGGAGCTGGCCATGTTGGAGGATATGAGCGTCGGAGTGATGGACCTAAGAAATGTCACATTTAAAGTTACCCAGGCAACTTCAGGCTTCGCCCCGGACATGCTGCCTGTGATCACAGGAAACAGGAACGGCTTCAACGTCAGGGTTCCCATGTCCGGGGCGATGTTCGACACGCTGCCACGAGAGATTCAGAACGGGATGCTGCTGCGCGTGCAGCCCGTCCTGTTCAACGTGGGAATCAATGAACAGCAGACGCTGGCTGAGAAGTGAGTCCCTGAGATCAGAGGACAGGAAAGGTTGAGGGGTTGAGGACAGAAAGAAAATGGAGAAGAGAAAGGGCACCACCGGGTGCCTCTCAATGTATTTGACATGGAGATCATTTGAAAATGAAGTAAATACAAAGTACCGAAAGAGGTTTTGAATGAGGATTGAATAGATGTAGTGATTAGAACAAGGCTGCTGGTTTTAAGAGAATGGAACTGGGTTGAGAATATGACATTAAAAAGCATCAGTTCCCTGGATAACACATTAAACCTGCATGCAGTAGGTTGAAGTACAGCGATGAAATATTTTGAAATAACATGACTGATTAAGGGAGGACGAGTGTGATAGTCATGAAAGATTTCAGCTCTAATATCCCAAATGTGTCTCCAGGTTTGGAGACACGTCACTACAAGAGGTGATCAACAAGGAGAGCACCACTCGCCTCAGCTCGTACTACGACCAATTTAAAGAGGTCCTGCCAGAAGACTGTGAGTTTACATGCATACATGCATGCAAAGCACTTTTATCCAAAGGGAAAACAATGTTTATTTCCTTGTTCTCATATTTAACTCACCTCACTCCTCCTCTGTTCTCTCTTCAGGCCTGCCTCCCTCTCGCAGTACCACCAGTCTGCCCGAGCTGCTTAAACAGCTGAGCCAGAATGCGAACGCCAAGAAAAGCAAGAACGTGGAGATTTTGTGGCAAGCAGCCGAGGTACACTTGCCTCTCATGTCTTCTCTGTGCAAATTTAAAAGCTCTGTCTTCTGCCTCTGATTGATTTTTTTTTTTCTAAACCTGAAGACATGTCGCCGCCTGAACGGAGTGCGGTTCACCAGCTGTAAGAGTGCCAAGGACCGCACAGCCATGTCCCTGACCCTGGAGCAGTGTCAGATCCTGCAGCAGGAGCACGCCCTCGCCCCACAGGTCTTCTACCAGGCCTTGGACTGTATGCGCAGGTCAGCCGACGATGACGAAAGTCATAAGCCTCACCGATAGTGTTGCCCCTGCGTCAAAAGGTCATTAGAAAAGTAAATAATAAACAGCTTCTGTTTCTCCACAGTGAGGGCTGCAGGAGAGAGAACACCATGAAGAATGTGGGATGTCGTAAATACGCCTTTAACTCTCTCCAGCTCAAAGCCTTCCCCAAACAGTATCGCCCTCCAGAGGGCACGTACGGGAAAGTGGAAACCTAAATGAGCTCTTCTAACTGGAGAAAAAAACCCAAAAGACTGACGGGGATAATGATGATAGCACCACACAAACAAAAAATACCAAACACAAACTGGAACAACAGCCCTTCGTTTTGTGCTTAGTCACTGTTAAGATGATAATTGTGCAAGTGCCAGTGCTACTGTAGATTGTTTTATAGCGGTTTTACCCTCTCCTCCCGTAGTGCTAGAATCACACACTTTTCACACTTCATGGCCAGAAAGATGTCTCTCTATGTTACATCGAAGCAGCGTGCAGACAACACTGTTGGCTGCTGTACCAGTCGTTGCATCAGGAAGCATTCTGCCGACGCATTTGAACTTGTCTCCGGGAAGAAATAAGATGTGCAAATGTCTCCGCCTTTAGAAAGATGATGTGGGGCACATGTTTGTACTTGTCCTCGTTGCTTTTATTTGATCTGATCAGTTTGTCAGTTACAGGATGAGGCTGCAGATATTCTACATTTTTCAACATATTTGCAAGACCAAAACTTACAATGAATTGATCAACGACTGACTGGCACAGGTGAGTGCTGTAAAGCTCCTTCCTGCTTATGGTGCCCTGTTATAGGAAATGTCTGACCTTTAACAACAACAAAAAAACTATATTTGTTTATGTTTGTGTTTAGGAGGTATATATGGGCCACATACGGGGTAAGAAAGTAGTAGGATAGGATTGAGGAACACACAATTGCATTGTTGGTTTTGGTCTTTAAATGGGATTTACTGACATAAAGAATAATACCACCCTTGTCCTTTAAAGCTCCACTAGTTAAGTTGTTGATAAAGGATTGTTTTTCAGCCCAAAACACAAAGTGAAGCTGCATTGAGAGCCCAAGGATTTTATCTTATTTTTCAAGACAAGAGGTGACAAATTTTGGGAAATGGTAACAGCAGCAAGCAAGCGACTGATTGTCTAGTGATGAAAAAAATGAAAAACGATTTCTTGAAAATATGTTTTTAAGAAAATGACTGTGTATCTTTCCGCCACTTGGAGCTGCCTACATGTGAAGTTGCCCAGCGTGGCTTTGATCAGACCATCAGGTTTGTTAAAACAGATGTCTTTGCTTGTTTGCAAATTTCTCTGGACCTAAAGGCAAAGCACTTATTTAGTCTGTTTCTCTCCCACTGTCTCTCCTTCTTGTCTTTCTTCTTCAATCACATAAATATCCAACACTGTATCACTCTCTAGAACAAACACAACTCTTCTTTATCAAAGTACATATCTCACACCACTTTATGGTATTTGTATTCCAATGATGTCCCATCTAATGTGATTTCTGCGGTTCTTCTGGTGCTTCACTGGAAGCATCAATGGGGAACTGGTTCACAAATTGTGGGCTTCTAAAGTGGTGCATCACATTAGTCTATGAACATTTCTGCAGATATTAAAGACATTTTTGAAGGTTATATGCAGCACTATAGCCGTTCGATGGCCCTTCAAACTTTAAGCATCTATTTATTACAGTATGTGTTCTTAGTTTTAGAGCAATCAGTTGAATTATGCAGAACTTAATGATTGATATTGGATTAAAACTTTAAAATGCGTATTAATTTAACCTGCATGAAGAAAAAAAAACTATTGCAATTGTATACTGTTGCGATTACCCATGAGCACTAGATGGATGTTTCTAGGCTGAAGTGAAATGATGCATATTGCGTTTGTCTACCAACCATCAACAACACCTCATCTGTTGTCGACCTCGTCTGTCAGTTTACCAGCTCCAATGTACTTAATTGTATAAAACTTACATAGACAGGGAATTTTATTTTGAAAATGTTATTTTGCTTACAGGTATTTATGTTGATATGGCTGTTGTTGCCAAATGCTGTTTTAGTTTTCTCCATTGTTCTCGAGGCAGTAAGAACCTTGTTCAGTTGTACATGCACACAGGTTGGACCTGTGAGTTTTGGAGAGGCCTGCACCCCCACAGAGGTATAAAGTGAAACTGAAATATTGAATAAAGGCTTGTCAATGCCAAGTGAGTGTGTCAGTCAATGAAATTAGACATTATGAATTGAACAGCAAATGTTTCATCCTCTCGAGTGTCAAAGAGAAGCATCTTATATGGTATATATATAGACAAAGTGTGTATGAGAGAACTCTAAGCACAGTTTCTATCCATCTCTACCACTATAACTCTTAACTGTATTTATCTTGTGCACCATACAGCAGCAGTAATGTCAAATACCGCTTTAACGTTATCGGAAACTGTGTTGCGCCTCTTTAGCATACACGTGTTCTGCAAAGAGTAAAACATGTTTAGCAGGGATAATGAAATTGCTTTATTGTAGTTGTATAGTAACTACCACACTCCAGCAGGTGGCAGTAAAGCGCCTATAAACAGTGACGCCGACCGGTGAGTAACCACAAAGAAGAAGAGGCAGCGGTCAGAGGTTAAAGTTGAATTTTGTAAAAACATGGTTGAACACGGGGATATCCGCGTGGTTCACCGAGGTGGCAGTAAAATAAACTTCAGGGAGCCTGTCATAACCAACGATTCAAAGTAAGTGAGTGGTTTCAGTCCGATGAAGTTTACTATTCGTTGGAAGACTCTGTTGCGTTTCTACACGTTTTTATTGGCCACAAAGCTGAAGCCGGTGCTAGCCGTTAGCATTAGCAATATAAGCTGCTAAACCAACCGTTGATGTTGATGTTTTATATGTCAGGTAATGACTTGGAATAAAGTTGACTAAGGAGTTGAAACACAGAGGTGGGTGATAATTTATACTGTATGCTTTATAAACAGTCAAACCTGACAGGGTCATTTTTGACCCCAGAGGACAACAGGTGTGATTATGTGCTGCCATTAGAAAAATTCAAATGATTCAAGAACAGCATCCTCACTAAACTTTGATATGTACCTCTCTGTGATCAGTCAAATAGTAAAAAATAATCATTGTATTTTCACTAAAAAACAGGGTATACTTTTATGTAAACAAGGTCTATTGGCCCTAAATTCCAAAATGAAGGGAACGATTTGTGGTAATGTGTTGGACTGAAGTAAGACTAAAGGTGTAAAACAGAATTGATTGACAATTTATACTGTATGCTTTAAAAACAGTCAAACCAGGTGGGGTCATTTTTGACCCCAGAGGACAACAGGTGTATGGCAGTCGGGAGGACAACACAAGGGTTTTAAGTCCTCGTGTGAAAGCTGTGGGTTGTGTTGCTTGCAGGCTCCTGCTATGCGCCTCAGGAGAGAGCGTGAAGGTGTTCAGCACCTCCACGGAGGAGTGTGTCCACGACCTGCAGGGACACACCGACCTGGTGACCGGTGTGTTGCTCAAACCCTCCAACCACCTGCAGGTACGGTCCTCTCACCACACTGTCTATTAACGGGGAGGGAAAGAGTGCAGCAGTATGTGTTTTCTTTCTTTGACTTTGGGGTAAAACATTTATTTTAATGAAGCTTATTTAAAAGCATTAACATGTGGGACATGTGTAGTTGCTGCTTGAATAATGATTTTATATACATTTCATTATTTGAGATTTTCACTTCTCCTGTGATGATGCATTTCTGTTTTGTTGCAGGTCTACTCTTGCTCAGTAGATGGCACTGTCAGGCTTTGGGACTTCACAGATGGCATCCTTATTAAGGTACAGCTTGATTCTTGTCATGTTTTTTTTTTTTTGCTCCAGTTTTTGCAGTCTGTCTTAACCAGATCTCCCCCCCTACACACACACACACACACACTTGCTGTGTCCACTTGCCCTTCCACTTTTTTAATAATGAAGTCACCATCTATTTTATAGCACGTTGTTGATTGTGGGTTTTTTTTCAACTCTATGCACTTAAAGTATTTACACAATTCAGTTTAATTCAACAGCAGAGTGAGCAAGGTGTCTATGGTGGAGAGTGGTGAGCTGTCACAGTACCTGTATATTTATGCCCCCCTGCTGAGTGTAGTGAAGGAAGAGTGGGCTCAGATCCGTTTCACAAAGAGCCGGTGTTGTGTTTTCTCTGATGTCTGACAACTGTGTGATCTCTTCCAGACTTACGTCATTGGATACCCGGTTTACTCCGTCTACGCATCTGCAAACCATGAAGGAGTCATCTTTATCGTTACTCCCGCAGCAAGTGACAAAAGATCTGGTAGGTTTGACATATTTTCTAATGCTGGTCACTGCCTGGGTGTGATGCCTAATCTGTCATCATCCATTAGACCACTGGTTACCAGCCTGGGGGCCAAAGCTTCATGGGAGGTTACGAGGAGAACTTTTTAATTATAAGATACAGTTGACCTATCTCTCAGCATTTCATTAATTTCTGTGAAGAAAACTAAAAAATAATCAGCTCAGAATGAAACCAAATTGCTCTTCTTTTTGTTTTATACAACATTCTGCAATTGTTGCGTTCACTATTTGGGTTAATTGTACAGTTTGTTGTCTGTTCTGTTATTGAAAGAAAAGAGGCGAGCGATCAATAATGATGCTGAAGTGGTACCAAACTGCAGAACCAGGCTAGCTGGAGAGGTAGCTGTCTATATGAAGTTTCACACCACTACTTACAGCACCCTGTTATTTAAATGTAAAGTTTTCTTTTGTTGCTTTTAGTGGCAAAAAATGTAATTACTGAATAAATCTGACCAGAGTTTGCCGTACTGAGATGTGTCGTAGATTACGTAGAAAACTCTGTAGACGAATTAGACAGTCTGGGTGAAGACGGGTGCAGTCCACGTGTTTCTTTCAGCACATCAATTCCAGTGTCGGCAGGTCAAACCTGGATGTGCATCAGTGTATCCACATGCATTGCTGTCTTTTACAGGATTTGTTTTCTGGTGCATCCACTAGGAGTCGCTAGTCACCAAAAAATGTCACATTTTTCTCAAAGGGGCTTTAACATTCTACATGAAGTAGAATTTGGGTAAGAGGTCACTGGGTAAGAATGTGCAGCTGGCAGATGTTTGACTGTGTGTGTGTGTGTGTGTGTGCGCGTGCGCGCAGAGCTGTTCCAGCTGGTTGCCCTACATCTTCCGCAGAGTGGAGAACAGCTGGTGGAGGCCGGAGAACTTTCTGCTGTGCTCGGGGACGTCAGTTCCAACCCACGAGCCACTGTCTTCGGCAGAGGGGTACATTCACCAACACACCATCTGCAACAGTTACATACCCGAAAGTGATATTCCCCACTTATTGACAACTCAAAGGGCTATTGGTCTGAAATCTTGTTGACTTAATTAGACTTTTCTGCTGTGGCAAAATACAATTATATAGGAAACATATTTGTCTGACTATGATCTAAAATTGTCTGTTTTCAAAAACTTGAATAAACCCCCGGTGGAAGCATAAAATGAATCGCTATTGCATGAAATTCAGATTATTATTAATAATTTTTTTTACTGGATATATACCATTTACAATTATGATGAACACCCCGCTTCAAATAGACGCCAGTATTTACTCAAGAACAGATCCTTCCTGCATTAATGTGTTAATAACCAGATGTTAACCTTCTCACAGGGGGAATATATTGCTTCAGCTAAAGACGTGCATCTGCAGGTCTACTTCTTCAAGAAGCAGAAGTCATACAGGTGAGCCACGGTGTGAGATGCTTCAGGTGTGAGGTGTGGAGATTATTTTATTGAAGACGGAAAATGAATTAAAGATGATCACCACAAATTGTCACGTAAAACCCACAACCATTCACAGCTTTAGATGGAGAGATCAGAAGTAAAGTCGTCATACGTGATAACGTTCATGGATCATGAAACCCACGATGTTTACAAAGCCACGAGGATGTTCAATAACGCCGCATATCTGTCCTTGTGTGGTGGTCAATAGGTTTCCCCTCAAAGAAGACAACAAGAAGGGAGGCAAGAACACATTCACTTGCGTTGCCTGTCACCCTAAAGATGACTGCATTGCCACCGGGCATGAAGATGGCAAGATTCGCTTGTGGTGAGTGTAGTAACAAGATGGCCTTAACGCATATACACTCGCATCAATCGACAATATTTCCTTAATTATTCAAATGTTTTAGGTCTATGCAGCTCTGTGTTTGTATAGTCTATGAATGTAACATAGACTCTATATAAGAAGTGGATGTATTCACCTTAACGTCACCCAATGGTTTTGTTGACTCGGGTTTTGAAGCCTTGAGTTCTGCATTTGGCTGTCGCCATCTTGGTTTTTGGCCTTTTGTGATCTTGTTTTTTTGCAACCTGGAGTGACACGAGGGTGGAGCTAAGAACAACCAAAAGTTGAATAAGACATTTGTAGCGACTTAAAAAAAGTTACAATTAACTTTCCTGAACTGAAAACACACCGTGAAAGGGTTAAATTTCCACGACGAAAAACACGGACAACTCCCAGACCGGACAACCCCATGGAAGCAACCTGTCAATCACATGGTAGCCCCGCTCTAAAGCCATACTCTGCTTTATGGTCTATTTTTAACGGTACCATAATTTACGAAGGGAACATCATGCAGTATTGAAGATGTCTTAAAACTAACAATTGAGACAATAAACTCATGTTTACAAGAAATGTTTACTGAGGTAATAAATCAAGTTTAAGGCACTTCCGCATTGGCTTCACCTTTCAGAACCGGAGGTTGCCGCCTGGAATGTAGCAGAGAAGCTTTTTGGCCGAAGGGATTATGCTTTCGGGTTTGTCGGTCCGTACATCTGTCTGTCCGGTCCATTCTCGTGAACACCTGTATGGAATCCCTCCAAATTTGGGCCAAACGTCCACCTGGACTTAAGGATGAACCGACTGGTTGTAGCTTGTCATTCTTCTCTCTTACATTACCGTTTATCCTTTCAGGAGAAACTTTAACCACAAAAAGGAGTACACATACTCCGCCCTGCACTGGCACCACAATGCTGTCAGCTCCGTGTGCTTCACACCAGAAGGTACACAAATGTTTTATTATTGTTTTTCTCTTTCTGTCTATTACAGACAGATTATTTATCTCAATCAAGCTATAATAAAGATCTCAGACATACAACT